AAAACATGTATTTTCTCCTTAAAAGACCATTAGAGATGTCATATTGATTTCTAGCCGAGTAAGTCATTGATATAATAATGAAAACCCTATAAACTGAATATTAAATTGTGATATTAAACATTACAGAAGATGTAAATGTTGACATTTCCATACCACTGCCAAGTCCTTTTTATATCCATTTTTCAATATGACTAAATCATTAAAGCAGCCTGTTTTATTGATTAAATATATATGGCATTCAGACAACTTTATATAAAGTGTCAGTGATATATTATTTAAAAATCTATCGAAAAAAGTAAGCTGTAAGCTCATAAACTATACATTAGTATACAATGATTAACACTATAATATGCAGTGTGTCATTCAGAGTGTCACATTTTTGTAGTCACTACAATATTAAAGATGAATTAGAAGCTATTTCTATATTACTGTAAGGTGCATTGACGGCTGGGAAAGCACACAATAAAGGAAGTTATTAAAGGTCAGAGTTAAGTCCCATTACGCATTCGCCTTTAAAGCCAAAAGTGCATCTTTATTAAATATCCATAATATTTGCGTGATTTAATGAAAGCGTTTTTTCAACATTAAGATGCAGAATGTTAAATAGAAAAGCAGATTACACTTAAAGATGTTCTAATGTCTAGGGACTCATGGCTGAGGGAGTATCTGGACCTACTGAACATGGAGCGTGCAGCTTCTCTGCTGGGGGATTTTGAGGGGAGACAGGGGGATTGCGGTTCCCTGTCCGCAGCTCTCCTATCTAACCCTGTCAATATGGCATCTCCTGTGTAATGTATAATGTATTGTGTATGTAATGTCCTGTGTATGTCACAATCAGCTGTTTTAGGAAGTCATCCTTGCATCCACCCCCCCCCTCCCCCGTTACGTTTTGTTTAAAAAACAAAACTAAAAAACAACTAAACTACTAACTCATTTACCAACTAAATGTCTAACTTACTTACGAAATTAGGCTAGTTGCTCTCTAGCTAAGCTATTTTCTAACTAGATAGATTAAAAGCTGACGTTGTAAATAACT